CATAAAATGCTTATTCCATGCACAATTGAAATAAGTGTATTATACTTAAGATAAAAAAGTTTACTTCAAAGATTTATCTTAAATAGAAAAAATTCTTTAGGGATTCAATTAAGATTAAAACACAAAATTATCATCTATGATAAAAAGCACTTTAAAGTCTGTCTGCCGAGCAAGTTTCTGTACTAGCACAATCTAAAATCATTCATAACTTTTTTAAAAATGTAGATAGAGAGGTGATTTTTTTTCAGTGCATTTGAAATTGTTCGAAGTTTTAATCTAAGCAATAATTTTTTCCCTCGATATTTTGGTCATTTTTTGGCTGACCCCTTAAATCAAAATATTTTCATTAAGGAAACAAAATTGCTATTGATATTGAAAACTGAATTATGATCATTAACCATTTCCGAGTGCAATTGGTAGTTAACCCTCAAGGGTATGAGTCATTCTAAAGAATTATGGCACATAATCCGCTACCAACCGGTGTCCCAGATATTTAGAATTAATCTCTTGCAAACATGTAGTGACACTCATTATTTAGAATTGACTTAAAAAGAAAGTTAAAATCCACAGGTCGTGAGATCAGGTCACGTTCTTATTTTGAGCGTTAAGAAACATTGACACTTTAGAAATCCCATCGATTGCAACACATTGAATGAATTACCTGACTTTGACGAATCAACCCACCAATGCTTTATATGTTATTGAAACTGAGATGCAAATGTTTTCTTTTTATTAAAATCAAGTTTATTCATTGGAGTGGGACGAGATAAAGGTGAAAGTAACAGCTGGCCATTCGCCGTGTGGCGAGTCAACAACAAAAAAAAAAAGTGGCGACTTCAATTAAATAAACAACTAGCCACTTTTAATTTTTTTTTGAAAATTATTAAATGATAAAAGTACATCAATGCAAAAAGAGTCTAGAAAACAGAATTTTAATTAAAATTCCCAATGATTAGATTCAGAATTTTGATCTTTCAGAATCCATCAATTAATAATGAAAAGATTCATGTGGAAGGAGAGTTCTTTAATGATTCACATATTTCAAAGTTGTAATGAATACATTACATGAATTTAGCTGCCAAATTATTTTTTCAAATATTTCAGTTCGTTTAACTAAATTCTGTCAAATATTTATATAATTTTTTATAATTGAATTAGCTTTTTATAGCTGTAGATTATTTAGAGTGATTAAAAAAAAATTGTGGCTTTTAAATCGCAAAAAGTGTCGATAAAATGAAAAGGACCTATCGATATCGGTCACAGACTCAATAGGATTAAGGAGAAAGTGGCTACTAATTTGTCTACCGTCCACTGGCTACTCACTGAAAACGTGAATTTTTAGGATACGATTGCAAGGATACGATGCAATTGATTATGAAATTAATTTCTGAATAAAATGATTTGCGATTTTTTAAAGCGAAACAACTTTTCTATGGATCTGCACGAAAAAGTAACATATAAAATATTGCTTGCATAAAAATAGAGTTTATGTAGTCTCGGCTAATTTCTCAAATAATAGAATCATTTCATGTCAAGTTCATATAAATTATACGTAGTCTCGGCTAAGTTTCCAAATAATAGATTCCTTCCATATAAAGTTTATGTAGTTGCGACTAATTTTTCAAATCGAATCATTTCCCGTAAAGTTCATACACAATTCATGTAGTCTCGGTTAATTTTCCAAATAACAAATTCATTCCAGATAAAGTTTAGGTAGTTTCGGCTAAATTTTAAAATAATAGAATCATTTCACGTAAATTTCATATTAAATTTATGCAATCTCGGCAAATTTTTCATATAATAAAATCGTTTCTTGCAAAGTTCATATAAAATTTATGTAGTCTCGGCTAACTTTCCAAATAATAGATTCATTCCATATAAAGTTTATCTTAAGTTGTGTTGTAAGAATTTCTTATAAAAATTTTAAAAGATTTTAAGTACCGTCATGTGGGGCTACTTTGTGCAAATTCGAATTTGGCACTTTTCAAGTGGTGCTTTTCAGTATTATGTTTTTTTCACGTTAAAAATGTGTGAAATTTGAAGATAGAAGTCTTCACTACAAACTACAAACATTACTACAAACATTTTTTCGAATTTTAAAGCAATCTCAGAGTGCGTTTTGTTTATCTAATGTCAACAACTTTCCGAGAACGTCGGACGTCGAAAAGTGTGCGAGGAAACTTCAGCTGTGAAATGCAAAGACGTTGATAAAACAATTGTCGTAAATGTAAAAAATTTTTTAAATATATTAATAAACAATTATATCATGTTAGCGTTAAAAAATTTGAAAATTAATAACAAATAAAGGGAGAATGAAAAAATGTACTGTGGGGCTACTTTGAGCAAAGTTTCAATCGTTTTTTTTTACGACAGAAAAATTGTCAGACGTTATAAAAAAAATACATGGAACGAGAAACTACCGTGATTACACTTTAGAAAATCTGCAACAATGTTTGCAAGCAGTTGCTGGTGGTATGTCGATTGCAGAAGCTTATCGGAAGTACAAAATCCATAGAAATACTATCTCTAATAAAATTCACAAGAAACACGTGAAACGTGCAGGTAAACTATTATTTTTCTTCTACAAAGATTTCTCTAATGAATTAATCAAACGATTTTACACATAAAAATATATTTTACAGGACATCAGGTGATTTTGACAGAAACTGAAGAGCAAGTTCTGTCATGTTCATTCAAGCATGTTATGCTCAAATTTATCAATATTATAAATGTTAATGAATATGTAATAATTATTATTTTTGGAATTTCATTCATTTCAATGTTCAAAAATGCATATGGTTTCTTTTTGTTTAAACTCCAATGTTTTGAAATAAACATTCTTTTTAAGAAAAAATTCTTTATAAAAAATATTTTTTTAACGATGAAAATTATTTTCAAACTAATATCTTTACATATCCTGATGTTTTTGTTATTAAAATGTCAACAATTAACTTTTTTAACAATTTTATATCAATATTTTACTAAAAACATGGTTATTAAACTGAATTCCTATCAGTGCACAAAGTAGCCCCACTTGGGGGCTACTTTGTGCAAGGTATGTTTTGACTTATCATTTGTAAATATTACATGCAAATAATGCCAACAGGGATCTGTCTAGGTTTTTCTAAAAGGTACCTATTTTGTGAAAATTTAGACATAATTTGAGAAAAATTAAAAATTATATTAAAAAATTAAAAAATATATTAAAAAATCAACACAAAAATATTAATTTATCGTTTCTTAAGGGATACAGAAATAAAATTTTAAGAAAAAGTATTTTGTGAAACTACCGTTTTTCCTAAAGTTGAATTTGTGAAGGTACCGCTAAACGGTAGTAAATTCGGCCTGCACAGGCCCCTGGCCAATATTGATCAAATTCACTCGTCTGAGTCCAGTTATGAATATAATATAGATAGATTTTACTGAAGTTTAAATTAACATAGTTTTTTTACATGTCAAAGTTCGAAAACTGCGAAATCCTGCACAAAGTAGCTCCACATGACGGTAAACGATAAGTTTGTGGTTTATTTGAATTTATTTATGTTATTTAAAAACCATTTAATTTTCATCTGCTTTCTTTAAAAATTTCACAAGAAACTCTTGCAACACATTTTAAGATTAACTTGGGTCGACTTCATAGCATCATTTATTGTAAAAGTCTTTTGATTTCTCACTATTTCATTTAAAACTGAAGATCCTTGGAACGATACGGAGGACCTTACAAGACCTTTAATCGTATCTTTTCATGCCTATTACATACAATCGATGCCTGAATCACAAATAATAGTCTTTTCTAAGCATTTCCGTGTGCGTGATCATAACACACGCAATTGTTTTGAAGAGAAATGAATTCGCTAAAGATTGCTTTATTATAAAAAACATAAAAAAAGTTAATTTTCCTGATATCAAACAATTGCATCATCAACTTCGAAGACACTTAGGATTAACTATTTCCTTAATGTTGCATTGTGATAGAAGTAATATAAGCTTTCCTTTCTTTATCTTTAGTGAGAGACTTTATTACGAAATGATAACGTTAAGATAAATCTACTAAACACATATAAAGCAGGGATCTTTGAAAGTTGAAATTCCAGGAGGGAACNGGAAACTCCTGAATCAGTACCCCTAGAGGTATGGTTTGCTATGGGAACATGGAGGACTTTGTGACTCGACAGATTTAACGTGCATCAGTCACCATTTACTACATGGGTAGTCTTCGGCTGGCGGAAATTGAGCCTACAACATCTTGGATACGGACCCAGTACCCTACCAACTAGGCTAACCCAGCCCTTGCTAACATTACATTGAAAAATGTACTCTTAAAAGATAACAGAACTTGCAGCATAACTCTTTAGTAATTGCACCATATTAAAAACTGCACACTTAAGTATCAAAGAAAGAACTTATATCAATGTTTTTAATGTTTGCAATAAATCAATAATTGTATCTTTTTAAGGCACGGAAAAAAACTCATAAGAAAACTCTTTACTTGCAATACATTAAAAATTATATCCCTTTGTGGTACAAAAAATAACTTACAGAAAGATTTTTAACTAATTACATTAAATTAAAAATAACACCCTCAGGTAATAAGGAAAGAACTCATAGCAAACTTTCACTGCTCGCATTAAATTCATAACTGTACCCTTTTAAGGTATGGAAAAAAAAGAGCTTACAGCATGATTTTTTAGTAATTACACCAAATTAAAAATGGCACAATTAGGTATCTAAGAAAGAACTTATAACCAAACTTCAAATGCTTGGTACTCATTTATCGACCCACTGAAGGGATGAAAGGCTGAATCAACCTTGCCCGGACCGAGGATCGAACCCAGGGCCTGTAGCACAGGAGCGCGAAGCGCTACCACTCAGCCACCGGGCGTCAATTATTTTTGATAAGTCAACTATTTTATAAGATTTAACTAAACAAATAATAAATCCAGATATTTTTTTTTTAAAAAAACAAGATTTTAAGAATACACATAATCAGCTCTACGTACTTTAACATAGTCAGGTTTCAATTGCTCTCCAGCTAATAAATCAACATATTTCAGATTTAAGTCAACACCCAAACATTTGGCTGTCATTAGAACGGCCCTGGTGGGACCGCTTGCAGGGTGGTAATACAAATCGATCGTCATCTTTGCTAAGTCTAAAGAGAATCTGAAGAACTAACTTCTAACTTCAGCTCTTATCTTCTATCTTAATCAGTTGATAATTCTATCTTAATCCTTATCATCTATCTTAATCAGTCTTCAGCTTCTTATTTACTCAGCTGATAATTTTGACTCTCATTCTTCAGACGAGGGGAGGACGAAGGCTCCAAGTGTGAGGGAAGTTAGGCAAAAGCTACATTGTTTCAATTGTAGTTGAAGGTTGACATCATAAAACTTCAAAAGCTACTTGTTTTGTTAGTTTATCTTTTCTTGATGATTATCCTCCCCCCTTGGTGCTTTCAGACTTTTATTTTATTCCCCCCGGCCATATCGGTATGTCAGTGGGGGGGGGGAGGAAGTCGCGTACATCAGGGCACAAAATGTTGAAAAATTTTAAATGTCCCATCTAGCATGTCAGTCCATAGCTCACGGGGACATTTTCGGTAGATTTATTTCGCTACAGAGATAAACTTCATGACGAATTTTTTTCAAAGAAAAAGAAAGATTCCTTTCTTCTCAGGAAAGTTAATAATTCTTTAAAAAAATATATTTGTTTCCTTCTAATGTACAAATAAATTTTTCTTTGTTTTAGAAAGTTTAATTATAGCTGATTTCATATTTACAAGCAATGAGTTTAAAATCAATAAACGAAATGTAAGAAGGTTATGATAACTCAGAAGTTTCATAAGTTTGGTGACCAAAGATCTACATCATACAAGCTAGAATGAAATTTTCACTTGCCCTAGCAATAGCTTATTACTGAAAAAAAAATAATGATAATAGCAATTATTACTCTGTCTAAAAATGACCTTAGCTGCATTGTCTGCATCAGTACTTTTATTTTAAGCATAAATTTGAAGTATTAATAATTATTAGCAGAGAAATTGGTATTTACAAGGAAGATACAAATAATCAAGTCTAAGCCTGTCCTCCGCATGAAATTAATATAAGTTATAAGGGTATTTAAATGAAAATTAATTGTATCCCTGATTTATTGATATTGCCTGCAAAAGTTATTTTTCATTTCTCTTAAATATTATTATCTATTAATACGTTTTTAATTTGGAATATTCATTAAAAATTAAGGTTTAAAAGCATAAATGTTTTATCTTAATAAAGAAATCTCATGATGTTATCTTATTATGCAACATTTTATAATAAAGATATGAGTTACCGTTTTACAATCATTAAACAGAACATAAAATGGATAAGAAAAATAAATATTACTTATGCAAAACTGTGTTTTGTAAAAATATGCAATTAAAATAATGAATACAAAAAAAAATGACTATTTGAAATTCTAGAGCGATTTCAAGAATAAACTTTCGCATTATTGCTAAATAATATCATCCGGCAAAAGAATATTTGGAACAATTTTGTGTTCATCAAAAATTTAAATAAATTGTGATTGAAGCTGTAACGGTAATCGCAAAAAAATTATTTTATCCCTATAGAATTGTAAAACTCAATCTGTGAAGCCAAATAAGTGTTAAAACTGCGAAAACAAAATTTTAATTTAATAATTTTTAATTTTAATGTAAAACTATTTATGGACAAAAATTAAAAATCATAATGAATCAATCTGCAGGTTTTGATGGACGATTTCTTTAAATAGGGCACATAATTCGGATGTTAGTATTTCAATTTTGAAAATAGTTTTGTTCTGAAAGCTACCTCTTTTAAAAAATCAAGATCATATTTTTAGTTTAGTTTATTTTTTTATCTGAATATACAGGTTAATAAAGAATACAATGACATATATATATATATATATATATATATACAGTGGAGCATCGTTTATACGACGATCACTTATAGGA